TGTCATTGAAGAGAGGCACAGATTTTCTGAAATACTGCTTCACAGTGGGATTTGAAAAGATAGTAGAAATAATACATGAGAATGTATACTATTCAATGTTTTCCTTTTTAGTATATGCATATACTTTAAAGTCTCGTCTTTTTACATATCTTGTTTTCTCAGTTGTTTTTGAACAATCATCTTGTTTTTATTTTCTGTACTCCTTTTTTTTTTTTTTCAGGAGGCTGCTGTGCCCACTATAACTTGGGGGCTACCCCTGGCTTAGTACTGGGAGTGGGAGTTGCTCCTCGGGGCTCACGGGGACTATGTAGACATTGGATTCAGGGCTGCTGTGTGGAAAGCATGCATTTCAGCCTGTTGAGTCATTTCCCCCGCCCATGACCTTTCATTTTGATTAAATTAAAAAGTTTTTTCTCCTTTCTTAAGTTGATGCTGTGGCAGTGCCAGAGATGTGTTCACTTGGTTTGGGGCTCACACCTACTAGGTTGTGGTGTGCAGGAGATTGCACATGCCTGAAAGTAAAACCGGGTACCCCAGTGTTAATGCTGCCGGGACTGTACTCAGTCTGTGGGGCTGTGCGGGGCTCAACCTCGTAGCGCCCCAGGCCCGGATCTGCTTCTGCCTCCCTTCTCGTAGTGCCAGCTGTTCTGTTTCTTTCGGTTGGGGCCACACCCGGTGTTGCTCAGTCTTGGATGTTCCATCCCACATAGCCCTGAACACCCAGAGCTGTCCTCAGTTGTGCTCAGTGGACATAAATTATTCTTGAATTTATATACCTTCCTGAAATCATCAACCCCCCCCCTTTTTTTTTGGTCATGTGGAACACAAGAACTCTCACTTTAATGGGTTTAAGACACAATAGCTTTGCTGATTAATAATTCCTGAGTGATAGCATAGTTGAAGTCTTTGGAATTTATTGTTTATTCTGTTTAATGAAGATGCTCTTTTGCTGGTATTAATTAGAAAGAAAAATGCATAATGAAATTTCAAAATATTGCAGTTTTTAAAAAGAATAGTGTGTCTATATAAAGAATACAGCCTGCATATATTATCTGGAATGTCCTGTCTAGTAATGTCAGACATAACTTATGAAAAGTCAGGATGTGCAACAAGAATTCAGGCAGACTTCCTGTTTGGTCAGGGTAGCCTATTTTTAACTTGGTAGATTCCCATTTAGAGGATATGTTCTAACTCGTGAATTATTTGATTTGGGAGCTTGGAAGCATATGGCTCTGAGGTTGTCCTAATGTGAGTCCTTCTAATAGCACCAAGGGAACCCTAAGGGTTTGTGCTGTAGAGTTTGGCAGGTAGAAAATGAGTTCAGTGTCCAAGTCAGAGGGTGCCAAGATTGGCAGGAAATGAAGTATGCTCAAGAGGGACACGCTTTCTGAAGCTAATTTGTGTAGCTGCTTCACCTCTATTCACTTGAAAAATTAGGGTTTTTTTCCTTAAAAGTAAAGTTTATTTAGTATTTTTGGGTTTGGACCACATTCAGGCATCACTTCTGGCTCTGTGCTCAGGGAACCCTCCAGTCAGGAATTGAACCTGGTTTGGCTGTATGCAAGCAAGTACCCTACACGCTGTGCTTTCTGTCACTTTGTCTCCAGCTTTCAAATCAACTTGATTGGGCTGGAATGAGAGTACAGTGGGTAGGGCATTTGCCTTGCCCGTGGCCGACCTGAATTTGATCCCCAGCATTTCCTCTGATCCGCCCCGCCAGGAATAATTCTGAGTACAGAGCCAAGAGTAACCCCTGAGTATCATTGGCTGTGACCCAAAAAGGCCCCCCCCCCAAAAAAAAAGCCCCTACAAGATCAACTGCATTGAAGCAAACTTACAGAGAGTATACAGCAGTTTCTTAAATTCTATTTCATTTAGCATCATTTCATTGTCAGTGGAAGCAAAAAAAGTGATTCCTAGCTGTGTCTGCTTGGGATTTGTATCTTTTCCTCATGTCTATGTGGGTGTTCTCGGGGTGTTCTCTTTGCATCCCAAAGAGGTGCCCATTAGGTTTGTTGTCATGTCTTGGCATCCCTTCTAGCTGTGAGGTCTGGGATGCTTTGCTGTACCCACCCCCGTGTAAGGATGGTCTCCTGTTTCAGCCCTGCCTGTGTGCTGCCGCACAGGTCTCTCCACCCAGACCTGACTGGAGTGGACGGTTGGAAAGTGAACACATGGATAAACAGATGGCTGTAGAGTATTAGAAATGTTTCAGGTCTTTATCCAGAAGTTTGATAATTTTTTTCGTGACCAGAAATATGCTATAGAAACTTAACTCTGCATTGATTAACTATATATAGTAAAATAGGTTCTGTTATAGATCATTTCTTTTAAAGTAGCCATTTCCAAGAACCCACAATCTATATGAAGTGAGAGTTTATTTGTACTTTTTCGTTTTGTTGAAGCATTGGCAGATGTATATACTTGTGGCATCACCATTCAGACTAAACATAGGATGTTCCTCTCAGAGCAGAAAGTCCTGCCCTGCCCCTTTGTCCCTGTTCTCTCTCTTGCGGGCAGCTGCTGATCTGCTTGCGGCCACTACTGATAGATTTTTGACTATTCTAGAATTACTATTTTGGCTATTTTGACTATTCTAAAATTAATAAAATTTATGTGAAATTTTACTGTATGTATTCTTTTTTTTTTTTCACGAAATTTGTGTTTTTAGTAGCTTGGTCTTTTTTATTGCTGCATAGTTTTCCATTGTTTGAATACACCACATTTTTCACATGTTAAAATCTCTTTGCTTGTTGATATTTCAAGATATGCCCAGTTTGAATAAAGCTACAGTGAACGTTTGTGTTCAGCTGTTTGTGTGACAGATGTTTTCTGTTTTCATTTCTCCTTGAGTGAAATTGTGGGTCAGAGGGTTTTTATATGTTTAACTTCATAAAAAACAGCCAGTTTTCTGGGTTCAGAGAGATAGTACAGGGCTAACGTGCTTACCTGGCATGTAGCCGGCCTGGGTTTGGTTCCCAGAACTGCATATAGTACCCAAAGCCCCACTTGGAGTGGTCCCTGAGTGCAGAGTCAGGCGTAAACCCCTGGGTGTTACCCAATCCCCCTCACCCCCCAAAAAAAGAAAGTTAAAAAGTGCCAATTGTCGAAAGTGATTGCTCCATTTTGTACCTCCATTATCAGTGTATGGTTATCTTGGTCATTTCCCATTAAAATTTGGGATTTGTCTAATTTAAGACTTTGGTTTGAATTCATCAAGTAGAAATTGTGTTACGTACCGATTGCCCGTCCCCTCCTCTGCCTGTTCCCCTACCCCTGCGGTGAGAGATCTGTGTTTGGTGCTCTGCTGCCGAGCTGTGCGCCCAAGCCATGCCCTCTTTCTCTCCTCCTCCAATCCCCTCCTGTGTTTATGTGTGTGGGAGGTTGGGGCCACTCTGGGATGTGTTTGGGGACTGTTCCCGCCTCAGTGCGCCAGAGGGTCTCCTGGCAGCGATCTGGGGATGGCACTGTGCAGCACATGCATCCTGGCTGTAGGGCTTCCCTCCCACCCCCATCTCTCTCTGTGTTTAAAGCGTTTAGTAACAGCGAAGTTGCTGTCATTTGTTGTATATCTCCTATATACCAGGTCATATTTGAATATTTTTTTACATGTATTATTATCTCCAATCTTCAGAATGGTTCTGTAAAGTGCACTGTATTATCTTCATTTCTTCCCAAACAGGAATTGTGGGTCCATGCATTTTAGGCTTAAGATTCGCTGTCGCTCAGTGGCCGAGCAAGGACTACGTCGTGGGCCATGGGAGAGAGCGCAGTGGGCGGGGGTGGCGCGGTGCCTGGCACACCAGACCCTGGGTTCTCTCGCCGGCACGGCTGGGTGCAGGGCGGCTAGCCCCGAACACCGAGAAGGGCGCCCCTCCAGTCTGATTCCGAACCGGACTCTAAATCCTTAATTTGAAGTTTAAAGTCACTTAAATAATTTGGTCTTTCTCTTTCCTTAATAAAGGGCAATTCAGGTGGGTCCGGTTCAGTCTGGCTGGGTTGGAACCCAGGGCCGCGCGGCTCTGAGACAGTGTTCTGCTCCTCTGCGCCACCCCACGCATACTCCCCGGGCACTGCTCAGGGCTTCCCTCCCCTTTTTTTTTCTTTCTGAGCTTCTGAAATGAACATATAAGAAGATATGTATGCTGATTTAGCTGAAGGGAAATAGAAAAGATTTACTATTAATATCACTCTGATCTTTGACGGTGAAAATTAGGAAATTGGCAACGGTGGGCTGGGAGATGGTAGAGCAGTTAGAAGACCTGCTGGCATGTGCCCGATGCTCCTGGCCCACTGTGGGTCCTGGCACCACCCGCCCTCCTGGGCACCCAGGACTGTGCTCCTGAGATCCAGGCACTGCAGGCAGCCCTGAGCAGTGCTGCGCCCAGGCCCTACACTGGACTGCTGTGTAGGTGGCCGCTCATCACCAAAAACGGGGGGGGGGGGGGGGGGAGGGAGGAAAGGAGGGATGAGGGAGGAGAGAGAGGAGAGCAACTGGGGGAGAGAGCGGGAGAGAGAAAGACAGAGGGAGGGTGGAGAGAGGAGAGAGCAAGTAGGGGGAGAGGGGAGAAGGAGGGAGGGAGGGGGAGAGAGAAAGAGAGAGAAATGAGATGAGAATGTGAGAATGCTGTGGAAGTTACTAGAGAGTGAGAGACAAGCAGTGGTGCATCATAGTAGATACTAAGCTAGTTTTTTTTTTTTTTTTTTTATCTCCGAGCGACTTGGTTGCTGTTGTAATTTTACCATGTGGGAATTAAGACTATAGACATTTATTTTTTAAATATGTCACAGTTACTATTTCATTGTACATAATACAGAATTGTATCACAACTTCTGAGTTAAATTTTAGAGCAGACATTTTATAAGCAAATCTTGGTAACTATATTCCCCAAATAGATTGTGTGAAACAGTTCTGTTTTACGGAATTTTTGGTTTGAAAAATTGTTTAAGATTTGGATCCTTTAAATTTCATCTTCCCCCTTTTCCATCCTGTTTTACAGACATTTCAACCTGCGAATGAAGAGGGACACTTCCCTTTTCAGTGATGAATTTAAAGTAGAGACATCAAATAAAGTACTTGATTATGATACCTCTCATATTTACACTGGGCATATTTATGGTAAGTTGAACCATAAAAGAACCCTTTTCTTTAATTTTCTCTGTATAAGGACACATATAAAATTTGGGTATAGCCAGGTTGTTTTTAAAAAGTAGGAGAAATTCTGAGGAGATTTGATACATATGGCGAAAAAAATGAAGTGATCTTTGAACCTATCTTTAAATTCATGCTTAATGTTGAATTATGCACATATGACTTCTAAAAGGTATGCAGTTTTTGACTCAGTACCTCCAAATTGTTAGATTGAAAAAAATAGTAATGGCTTCGATTATGTTTCAGTTCTCCTTTTTTATTACACCAGATAAAAATGCTGTTTGGGGGGCGTGGGGTACAGTTTGCCCAGCAGAAGGTTACATTTTTCAGTTACACCAGATAAAAATTCTATTTGGGGGGCGTGGGGTACAGTTTGCCCAGCAGAAGGTTACATTTTGCAGTTCAGTTGTGTGGGAAGATCAGAACACTTACAGAAGTTTTAAAGATGTTTTAAAACCAATTATTTTCTGTAAGTATTTGAGAAGTGCCCTGTAAAGTTTTGTGCTATAACATTTATTACTTTTTTTATTTGGGGGTGGGAAGGGGTCACACCCAATGGTACTCAGGGCTTACTCCTGGCTCTGTGCTCAGGAATTACTCCTGGTTGTGCATGGGGGACCATATGGGGTACTGGGGATTGAACCTGGGTAAGTCTCATACAAGACCAATACCCTCCCCACTGTAATATTGGTCCTTCTCCAAAGCCTTGAACATTTTTGATTTGTTTTGTTTTGGGGCCAACCTGGCTATGCTCGGGGCTTACTCCAGGTTCTGTGCTCAGGGTTTGTGTCTTGGATCGAACCAGGGTTGACTGCATGTAAAGCAAATGTCCTAGTTGCTTTACAATCCTGTAATTGATTTTTCCTTTCTTTTCTTTTTTTCTTTTTTTGTGTGTGGTGTCACTCTTGGTGATGCTCAGGGGTTCCTTCAGGTTCTGCACTCAGGAGTTACTCCTGGAAGAGTTTGAGGGACCATATGGGATGCTGGGGACCAAATCCAGGTTGGCCATGTGCAAGGCAAACACCCTACCTGTGTACTATCGCTCTATTCCTCTTGATATAACTTTATATATTAATAAATACTCAAGATGATACCCAGTTATTAAGTAGAGTTAAACTTTGAAATTTTAGTTTTATATGAGTATGTACATTCAGTATCATAACATTGTGAAAAATCAAGTGTGTGTGTGTGTGTGTGTGTGTGTGTGTGTGTGTGTGTGGTATCAGGGCCTCGCAGCAAGGCAAGGGCACCGCAGCTGAACTGTATCCACAGGCCTGGAGCATCAGTGTGTGAAGGAACATCTGCAGGGCTGAGAGGTAGCTGAGGGGTAAGGCACCTGCTTGCCATGTGCAGAACCCTCGTTTTGTTCCCCAGCACGGCATGACGCCCCTGAGTGCTGCTGGGCCTGGGTTATAGCATCGCCCCCAGGCCCGCAGTCAGCCTGAGCACCTTGGGGTGAGGCCTGGGCTGCACCTGGCCCTGCTCCGGGGAGACAGAAGCGGTGTGCTGTGTTGCAGGCACCACCTGGCCGCAACAGCCTGCTCTGGGGCAGAGCCTGGCTCCCTCTCTGCCCAGGGATTCGGCCAGGCACGAGATGACATTACCATCTTAAAATTTCTCATTCGTATACTAAGCTTGGTTCATAGAAGTGTTTTATTTCTCATAACAGTTCTTACTTATTGATGCGTTCATTTCTCCTGATGCTGAGTTGCTGCTTGGGACCTGCCCCAGGAGTGCTGGGGCCTAGGCATCCCCGCTGTTGTACCCTCCTGCCCTCCCCACCCCCCAACCCCGGCCCCCTGATGCCCTGGCGTGGTGTGCCCTTTGCCAGACCTGGTGGGGAGGGGCAGTGAACAGTTGGAGCCCGGGTAGTGCTCCTGACTCTCGGCTGCACTTAGCAGTGCTGGGGGGTGGGGCAGCACGTGGCGCCAGGGCTTGGACCTGGGGCCTGCTGGCCATGTGCCAGCTTTCTGGGCCATCTCACAGCTATCTCGACTGGAATTTTACTGTCAAACTGGTTTCACGTTATTTTATTTCATTTACTAGATTTTGCTTTTTAGTTGTGGTTATCCCTTGATCACTTGACATCCTGTTACTCATCGATTAGCTCGAGAGGGCGCCAGTAATGTCTCCATTCATCCCCGTCGCGTGCTAGTGCAGCCCAGTGGCATCTGCTCATTCTAGGAACACGAAGAGCCTCAAACCAATCGTTCAGGGTCTTGATGAAGAAGTCTGACCATCTCGTAGGTGGGCGGCCACACGATCTTTTGTTTTTTTTTTTTTTTTTTATTTATTTATTGAATCACTGTGGGAAAGGTTACAAAGCTTTCAGGTTTATGTCTCAGTCATGCAAATATCAAACACATTTCCCTTTACCAATACTTATTTTTTACCATGAAGAACCCCAATAAAACCCCACCCTCCACCCCTCCCCGTCCCTGTGAAGCAGATGAATTCTAGTTAACACTCTATCTGCTTTGATTAGATTCATTGTTTCAATAAAAGATTCACCACTATTATTTAGAGTTTACCCCCCCCCCCCCCACACACGATCTTTTGATGTCCCGTGGAATCCAGTCAGTAACAGCTCTATTCCAGCGGTCATCTCCAAATCTCATTACGTGTCCAGCCCATCTAATTTTCGATGCTTTGGCAAATGAAGACAGTGTCCCTGATTCTTGATCGTCGATGGAGGTCGGAACTCCTGATTCTTTATCTCATTTGAGTGAAGCATGATACTCCAAGCATAGCTCTTTTGATTTCTCTTTGGGAAACCCGAATAGTGTTCTCATCCTGTTTTTCAGGGCCCAGGTCTCTGAGGCATATGTTAATGCAGGAAGAACAGTAGAATCAAAGAAATGTGCCCAGAGTCGGAGGTTCTTTGTCCTCTTAGCTATTTCTTTGACGCTCCAAGGCGTTCCAAGCCTCTCTTCCTCCTGCGCAACTCAGGTGCCAGGTCATTCGTCATATTGACTTCTCGACCCAGATACACATAACTGTTGCATTTGGAGATGTTCGTTCTGTTGAAAGCAAATGAAATGTCAGGAATGAGACTGTTTCTCATAAACACTGTCTTCGTAAGATTTAGCTGTAGTCCGACCTTTCCACACTCATGGTCGGAGTCGGCCAGCATTTGTGCCGCTTGGCTAACGTTTGGTGTTATTAGAACGATGTCATCAGCAAAGCGGAGGTGGTGTAGTTGCTCACCGTCTATCTTCACTCCCATTCCTTCCCATTCCAGTCGTAACATGACGTTCTCGAGGGTAGCTTCAGTGAAATGGTATCACTCTGCCGAATCCCTCTCTTGACATGGATGATCACTTCCTTGTAGAATGGTGAGATCCTGGTAGTGAATTTGTAATACAGCTCACAGAGGATCCTGATGTACTGAGTTTGTACCCTGTCTGGCTAGGGCTTTGATGACCACTTCAGTCTCAACAGAATCAAAGGCCTTCTTTAAATCAGTGAACGTTAGACAGAGTGGCATCTTGAACTCCTGAGAAACTTCAGTGAACTTGGTTATCGTGAATATGGTCGATGGTGCTGAATCCTTTGTGGAACCCGGCTTGCTCGCATGGTTGTCCTTCATCTAGTGTTCTGCCAATCCTATTCAGGATGATTGAATGAACAGCTTGTAGATGACAGACAGCAGGCAGTTCAGGCGATAGTTGCCAATGTCATGAATGTCTCCCTTCTTGTACAGTAGTACAGTCCTGCTGGTTTTCCATTGGGATGGAACTTGCATTCAGACAGTACATGTGAAGAGCCGAGCCAGTGTATTGATGACAACAGGTTCTTCAGGTGTTCAGGTCTGACGTTGTCTGGGCCGGGTGCTATTTGCTTCTTTACTGACAAAATGGCGTGTTGGATTTCGGAAGGGAGAATGTTGGGAATGACATATCCATACACACACACATACACACACACACACACACTTGATTTTTCACAATGTCATGATACTGAATGGACATACTCATATAAAACTAAAATTTCTAAGTTGTGGTTATAGTTTATTTTTCTTGGTCCACACCTGTGAGTGCTCAGGGATCACTCATGGTGGTGCTCAGAGGAACTTCTTTGGTGTTTGGGATAGAATCAGGGTCTCTAAGCACAAGTCAAATGTCTTAGCCCTGTACTGTCTCTCTGGGCCTCTTTGTTATTGTTGTTGTTTGTTTAATGCCATGTCTGGGGTTTTTAGGGGTTTTTCCTGACTTAGTGCTCAAGGGTATCTCCTGGCAGTGCTCAGAGGATGTGGTGCTGGGGATTGAACCTGGGCGTTCTTCATGCAAAGCATGCATACCAGCCCTCTGAGCTATCTCCCCAGTGCCATTTTATTTTATCTTATTTTCTCCCTCCCTCCCTCCCTCCCTCCCTCCCTCCCTCCCTCCCTCCCTCCATCCCTCCCTTCCTCCCTCCCTCCCAGGACTGGGGGCCCACCATCAGTGATCAGGACTTACTCCTGCCTTTGCACTCAGAGGTCACTCCTGGTTTGTCTTGGGGGACCCTAAGTAGTGCCAGGGGTTTGAACCTGGGTCAACTCTGTGCAAGGCAAGTGCATCCCTTGCTATGCTATCACTCTGGCCTCAGGCAAATTTAACTTTTAAATTTATACTTCCCATTTCTATTTTCTGATGTTTGGTCTTCAACTTTTCTTTGTGACTATATTAAGAACCAGTGTCTTTTTTGCCCCCTTCTTTCTATTATTTCCTTCAGTGAAGTGTAACTCCTGCTTTCTGAATCATCATTTGTCTGCAGCATTCTAGAGTTTCAGACTTGTAGCTCAACATCTCTGTATGTGTGTGGGGTTCACTGCTCATTTTTTGGACCATACCTGACAATACTCATGGGTTACTCCTGACTCTATTCAGAAATCACTCATGGCGGTGCTCAGGGGAACATACGGATGCTCAGAACAGTTTTGGGCCACACCAAAGAAGCTTCTCCTCTCTTGGTGCTTGGGGGAACCCGCTCTTGGTGGTGCTTGGGGTCAGGGTAGGGTGTGGTGCAGGGATTGAACCTGCGGCTACCAACCAGGCACCCAAGACCTTTGAGCTATCTCCCTGGGGTTTCGTTTTTTGTTTTGTGTTATTGTTTTACTGGGGACAGTGCCTGAATCCAGGGTCTCACATCTACAGGGCAAGTTGTCTGTTGTTGATCATATCCCTGGCCTTTATTTAATATTAAAGAGGGTTGTTGCAGGGCTGGAGAGATAGTACAGTAGGTAAGGTGCCAGGCCTGCATGCAGCCAACCTGGGTTTAATCCCTGGCAGCCTCCATGATCTCCTGAGCACTGCCAGAAGTAATTCCTGAGTGCAGAGCCAGGAGTAATCCCTGAGCATTGCCAGCAGTGGCCCCCAGACAAACAAAAAAGATTGTTGGAATACTCTTATTCTAATTAGAACAGTTAGACACTTTTAGAACATAGCAGTGGTAGGAAACCCAAAATGCTGATGCAGATTGTCAGGTGTGAAATGAACTTTGAACAGTCTTTAAAGAAAAATGTCACTTTTTATATGTGTTCAGTGTGAGAGGATTGAGTCTATGTCCTTACCTGTGAGGGGTGGGGCTCCCACTCAACCACATCGGCTCCTGGAGCAACATTTCAAAACATTCTTAATGTCTTTCGTTTGAAAGTGTATGTGTTGTCATTGGATCTCTTTTCTCTTGTAAGTTTGGTTTGGTTTTGGAGGCCCATCCTGCGGTACTGCTCCTGGCACTGTGCTCAGGTTATTTTTCTGGAGATGCTCTGGGACCCGCAGAGAGCTGGGATCAAACCCAGAGCTCCTGTGTGTAGACCGTGCCCCCTCGCCCATTGAGCTGTCTCTCCACTTCTTTCCAAGTTTAATATAACTACTTATTTATTTGGGGGGGGGGGGTACGCATACCCAGTAGTTATCAGGAGACCGTTTGTGCTGCTGGAATTGAACCCAGGCCAGCCCTGTTGTGCTCTCTCACTGCTCCCAACAGATACTGCATCCCAGATTTCCGGGGTCTCTTAATGACACCAGAAATTCTGTTTTTTTTTTTTTTTTTTTTAGTGGCTGGTAATTGTATATGTCCTAGCTAAGTACTAGTTGTTGTTCACATCTCAAATTCAGCTTGCTATATTTTGTGTGAAAATTAATTTCCCCATTACACTTATGTATTGAGGAAAAGAAATATGTAAGAATGGATTTTAAAAGAAGAATGAATTTAACATCCATGTGAAAATTAAATTTTAAAGAGTTTGTTGCTTTCATTAATAGGTGAAGAAGGAACTTTTAGCCATGGATCTGTTATTGATGGAAGATTCGAAGGATTCATTCAGACTCGAGGTGGCACATTTTATGTTGAACCAGCAGAAAGATATATTAAAGACCGAGCTCTTCCATTCCACTCTGTCATTTATCATGAAGATGATATTAGTAAGTATTTAAAAGTTCCCAAGTAAAATTTTGTAAAAGGGCATTTAAAATAGTTAAGGCTTTGTGGCAGCAAATGAAACCTAAACTGATTTCTTTCCTAAACTATTAATCTGGCTAGGAAAATAGTTTAAATTTAATTTATAAAGTCTCAGTTTAGTGAATAATAGAACTACATAATGAGGCTATTTCCTTGTCAATCCATACCAGTTCTACTTTGTTAATGTGGTGTAGCTAATTCTATTTGAACTGTGTGTCATCCAATTCTGATTGAACTGGGAAATCTGTATTCAAGTACTAGCTAGTCAGTGCTGCTTATTGCTTGTCTATGTGGCCTGCCAAAGTGTCGCTCTCTTAAGTGTGTCGCTGTAGACATTCTGTATTTAAGGGGTATTTTATGTCGATTTATTATGGAGTTTTGACCTGTCTGGTGTCTTTATATGATGGTAATTTGCTTGCATAGTTCTTTTTCTGTGTTATAAAGGTAGAAAATATTTTGACTGCATTTTTAAATTCTCCTATTGTCTTAATATCCATAGTAATGTAATCACAGCAATACTTTAGTGAAATATAGAAGTACAATTCTCTAATTTATATACTGCTTGGATAATCGTATAAATAAAATATGACTGTACGACAACTGTCTCAATTTTTGCCTTTTTTCCTAAGTTGACAGCTTCCTCCTGGCTTCAGTTTTATTTCTACAGCCAGATATATATTGTCAGTAATCTCATTCTTACCCCTAGTAATGTACTGGAAAACCTTAACCACTTTGATGTTTTTCTTCATTAGCTTTGATTTTGTACTTCAGTTTGTCCTGGAGCTTGTTATCTTTGATGCTGGATTACTATGGAAAATAGCATAATATTCTAGGTTGAGCATACTTATGATTTCAGATACTCGGGTCCATCAAACTTTCATGCTTGTCCATATTTTATTTATCCCTATTTGATTCCTTTTTTTTCCTTGGTATGCGATAGCACAGCGGGTAGGGCGTTCGCCTTACAAGCGGCCAACATGGCCGACCCGAGTTCGATTCCTCCACCCCTCTCGGAGAGCCCGGCAAGCTACCGAGAGTACTCAATATGCCAGACACAGTAACAACAAAGTCTCCAATGGAGACGTTACTGGGCCCGCTCGAGCAAATCGACGATCAACGGGAGGGCCTTTACCTTTACCTTTATTCTAAACAGTCCTCAAATACCATGTTAGCCACACTCTGTTACAATTTAGAATATAATTTATTTTGTCTACTCGCCCCCTCTCTCCTCCCCTCCCCTCCCCTCCCCTCCCTCCCCTCCCCTCCCCTGCTCTTCCCTCCCCTCCTCTCCCCTCCCCTCCCCTCCCCTTCCCTGCCCTTCCCTCCCCTCCCCTCCCCTCCCTATTCTCTCCCCTCCTGCCTTCCGGCTTCTACTTGATGTGTGTTATGTTTGAATTTTCTTAATAATTGAATGTTTTTGCAGGTTTGTTTTTCCCTGTCAGGATATGTCAATTCTCTAAGTTTAATTTATGTATGTTTGTTCCTTTAGCATTTCTGTTGGATTTTCTTCATAGATTCTTAATGAGGTCTTGAAACATTTTCTTTATAATGTCTTCTCAAAGCCAAGCAAGACCTTTTGGGAAAGGAAGAGAATAGCTTGACAGATTTTGAACTCATCTTTCCTTTCCCAAACTTTATATTCAGACTTTTACTTTGCTTCTCACTTCCCATAAGCACCCTCTTCTCTATTTGTTCTGCCTTTGATGATTTCTATTCTTGCATCTTCTCTGTCTGATTTGCCGGCTTCTGTCTTTTCACTTGTTGTAATTCCCTGCTGGTTTTTTTTTTTTTGGTCACACCCAGTGATGGTCTGATGTTCCTCCTGGCTCTGCATGTGGGAATTACTCATGGTGGTGCTTGGGGGGAACCTGGGGTGCTGGGGATCGAACCCTGTCTGCCCTGAGCAGGGCAAATGCCCTGCTGCTGTACTGTTGCTCTGGCCCCTCCCTGCTCTGTTTTAAAAATCATTTTTATTTCTTTCTTGCCATGTAATTGCACTTTTCTCTTTTTCATCTTTTAATAACTGCCAAATATCATCCTTTATGTCATTCTTTCTTTATCTTTAAAGATGATGTAGTTTGAAGGATTATTATCTTTGGGTGTGACTTATGTCTTTTGGCATTTAAATTTATTGATTTTCACTGTCTTTATGCATGTGAATATTAAAGAGAATTAAGGAAAGTTCATGGTGAGGAGGCTTTTTTTTCTCATATTTAAGACGTTATGAACTAATTGCAATATTAGAGCTTTCAATTTTGTTATATTATTTTGAACACATAAAGTGATTAGAAACGAAGTTTAGAAAGTTTTTTCACTTTTTGTAGTGAATGAAAATGTACTGGTATGAGGATTAGAGTAGGAAAGAAATTACCTTAAACATAATTTGACTTTTACAGATAATTTTTAAAAACTGTTTGAAAAATTCATCAAGTTAATCGTCTAAGAAAGAAGAACACGCCTGTGCAGTTTCTAAGTTCTAGAATACACTGTCACAGAATGGGTGAAAGAACCCGTGGGGCCTCAGGAGGGGACACTGGAATAATGCAGTGGGGTAATAATAGCCGCCTTGCATTTGGGGGAGGATGGTTGGTTTGTTTGCTTAAAGGTAGATTTCTGGGAGGTTTTTTTTTTGTTTTTTTCTTTTTGGGTCACATCCAATGATGCACAGGGATTACTCCTGGCTCTGCACTCAGGAATTACTCCTGGCGGTACTCAGGGGATCATATGGGATGCTGGGAATCGAACCCGGGTTGGCCGTGTGCAAGGCAAATGTCCTTCCCGCTGTGCTATCGCTCTAGCCCCTTCTGGGAGGTATTGACTGATGTTTCTTCTGTGAAAAGTGGACATTTGGACAAATAAGATTGGGAATTCTGTTCTACACTAAAGATTGTTCAACTTTATCTGAAGGCCGGATAATAAAATTTTTAGTTGTTTTTTTTTTGCTATGTGAATTTTATTGCGACTACATTTTAATTCTGCCATTGTAGTATAGTATGTGAACAGCCATAGGAAACACATTACTGAACAAGTGCTGCTGCTTGTCATATACAATTTCAGTTTTTACAATTTTTGCACAATAGAAGATATTACTGTATTTAATTTTGGGTCAGACTCAGCTGTGCTCAGGGGATTTCTCTGGCATTGTACTACGGAGTGACTCGTGGTGGTTGGGGGACCAGATGAAGTGTCTCGATTGAACTGGGTTGGCCGTGCAAGGCAAGTGCTGTCCCTCTCACACACTCTCTCTGGCCTAGGAAAGAGTTCAAAAAATTTTGTAGGCTCTTTGGGGGGAATAGCCCAAAGGGCTGGAGTGTGTGCCTTGCACATGAGAGGCCCTGAGTTTGATCCTGGGTACCTCGTGGCCCCACTTACACCAACATATATGTCTCTGGGGACCCTTAACCACCATTGGCTCTGAGTAGCACTGCTGAGTCGCCTGCCCTAAGGCACACCTGGCTGAAGCTGGCTGGAGCAAACCTCCCTGGCCCAGGAGCTCTGCAGGGGAGACTCCCCCACTCCCACCTCCACCTCCATTTTTTTTTTCAATTATCCAAAAGTGTAAAGTATATTTTTAGCGTGTATGTCAAATATTAGACTCCTTTGTTCAATAGCATGTTGTTCGTTGCCTCTTTCTAAAGAGTGGATGGTTAAAGTTTCTTGTGGCCGTAAGGGAGTGGAACAGCAGAGCATTAGTGATTCTGGAAGGAACAGTGTCAGTAGGAACTACTGCTGCTTAACGTATATCTCTAGAAAGTTATTTTTTTTTTTTACACAAAGAATTAGCCTTTTATTATGGAAAATATAAAATATATTCAAAGGTTAACAAAAGAATACAGTGAATCAATCACTTCGATAATGACCAATAGTCTGCTATTATTATTTCATTTATCTGACATATTATTACATTTTTTTGGATTCATTTTTTTTTTTCCCCTCCTTCATTCATTTTATTTAACATGTCCCGGGACCATGAACTTGTTTCTCAAGTCCACTTCTTCTATCCCGTCACCATTACCACTATTTGCAGAAAATTCTATTCATCATACATTTATCACTGTACTAATCCATAAAAAATGTTTCCCTTTCATTGGCACTTTTCTCCATTTATTTTCCAACCCACAGGCAAAGTTACATTTCTTTTTTTTAAATTTTTTATTATTATTATTTTTTTTATTATTAGTGAAACACCATGAGGTACAGTTGTAGATTTACAAATTTTTGTGCTTGGATTTCGGTCATACCATGATCAAATACCCATCCCTCCACCAGTGCCCATTTTCCACCACCAGGATAATATCCCTCTCCCCCCATCCCCCTCATCCCCCCATCCCCCCCTGCCACTGTGGCAGGGCATTCCCTTTTGTTCTCTCTCTCCTTTTGGGTGTTGTGATCAGCAAAAGAGGCATTGAGTGGCAAACATGTTCAGTCCAGTCTACTTTCAACCTGCATTTCCCCTCCTGGGAGGATCCTCCAAACACCCTCCATTTGGTGTTCCCTTCTCCATCTGAACTGTTCTTTCCCCTAGAATACCCGGCTGGCCTCTAAGCTATGGAGTAATCCTCCTGGTGTTGATCTCAGCTATTCTTGGGTATTAATCTCATATTTTATTATTTTATATCCCCCAGATGAATGCAATCTTTCTATGTCTATCCCTCTCTTTCTGACTCATTTCGCTTAGCATGATACTTTCCATATTGTACCACTTGTATGTAAAGTTCATGACTTCATCTTTTCTAAGAGCTACATAGTACTCCATTGTGTAGATGTACCAAAGTAGAAAGTTATTTTTGTTTCATTTAATCTTCACAATAATTCTCTAAGGAAAAGGCTTACATATTATGCCCATTTTATAGATGAGGAAACTTAAAAACTTGGTCACGTAATTATGGATTAAATGCTAACCATGTTTTTCTGCTTCACTAAAGGAAGAGGTGTAAGAAATGAATTTATAGTGTTACTCGAG